CCCCCCAGTCTCTAGCACATCTCCGGGGCCTCTGTCTGCTGGGAAACACTTACATTTCCTCCCGGCAGCCGACCTGCAACTTCCCTTTCTGCCACATTCTCCGGCGCTTCTGCCCCGGGAAAGCAAGCTCAGCCCCCTGCACGCACGTCTGAAGAAGGTTCCAATAGCAGGCAGGGGGGGCCGGGACCTGCCAAATTGTATTAGTCTTATAAGACCCAGTAGTAGTATACGAACAGACCGCACTATCCAGAGAATTCCAATACTTCAGACTTTATTGAAATTCACAGCAAATCCAGTATAACAGTGAATAAAAGTGTATAAAGCAGCAAATACCAGCACTGCACACCCCCAACAAGCTACAACCTCTCACATGTTTCACCCGTAAGCTTATTTATAGAGGATGAGGATAGTGGGGTCTGTTCGTATACTACTACATTCCAAGGTGGAGACGCACCTATTAGACCAGCTCCTGGGGAGTCCTGATGGAGGCTAAGGAATTGGAGCGGTGAGATTTTCTTTAGTGGACCCAGTAGTGTTATAATTTGCTTGCATCCATGTGTATCTTAAAGCAGCCTTAGTCATTGAGCTCTTATAATTACATGAAATGATGATCCAATATTGGAAGAACCAGTTATTATTTGAACTGAAAATATAAATGCACATCTAAAGAATTTACAGTACATAACAAAAGCAGAAGCACATGTACCCTATAGCATCTGAGTAATGGAGAAGTCTAAAGAATGGAGAAATTGTTGTTTCCATTCATAAAGGTTTAGTGCATTTTGTAAGTGTCCTGTTTAAAAGTCTATCTTGTTTTGGGTACCAACATGCTCCTAAGCTGAATTTCATTAATCGGTTTTATTATATTTTGTAGATTGGGATACGTGTCATTATGCAGTTGCTGTGGTGAAAAACTCCAGCACATTTCAGTTTGGTCAGCTGAAAGGAAAGAGGTCCTGTCACTCAGGCTTATCTAAAACAGATGGCTGGAATGCTCCTGTAAATGTTTTTGTTGAAAAGAAGTTGCTACCCTGGGATGGACTTGCAAAAGGATCAATTGAAAGAGGTATGATCACTAAACATAAAAAGACATACATCTGGTGGGCCATTGGCTAAAGCATGGTAGAGAAAAGGCAGTTCTGATGAAAGATCTAAGGCATGCCCATTCTCTTAGGAACTGATAAACCTCTGCTTTTATAACAAGTTACAAGGAGAGTGATTCTCTTCTTGTGATTATTAGCTTTTCAGAATAATTAAAAATTACCATATATGTTTTTGATTCTTGCATATATTAATGTTGTAAATGAATTTAATGGCTGTATGTGTTTCATGGTTGAAGGGTTGAAGGAAATCCCTACTGAGAGAAATATATGGGCTACTATTAATGCTAGTTGCCTGACTGTGTCTGGCTTTAGTATTTTCTAAATCACAGACACACAATGCAACACGTTTTATTAGAGTAAAGTCAGAGCTACCACACTGCAATGTTACTCTGTTAGTTAAAGAAATATGTAAAGTAAAATGCCCCCTGCAAAATGGTGCTCTCTTCACTGATCTTAGCTGTAACAACAAGAAACCACTACTGGAAGAATCTTCAGAATTCAACACATTCTGGTGTTTTGGGTTCCTGGTCACCCTATGCACTTATTGGTTTACTATGCCAGTCCCTAAGTCACCAGGGTACACAATAGAAGCTTGAAAATGGAATCACTGAGTGCAGCGGGGGACCAAAAATCTAATGTACCCAGAAGAGTGGGATTCTGAAGATTCTCTGGGCAGTGGTATCGCCTCATTACAGTGAAGATCGGCTGTGTTAGAGGTGAGTATTTACAATTTACTTTGCAGGTTGTGTGTTACTTTAGTTTTTTTATTCTCAGGTCAGTTCACATCAGATGCATTGGGGCTGCGCTGACCGTTGTTTCCAGCGCAGTCCCAACACATAACAAGGCAATTTGCCTTGTTACGGATGGGATCAGTTCATACCACCGTGTTGCGAAGGGGAACATGGTGATGACATACTGTACTTTTTATCAGTGCAGCGGGATGCGATGCAGTACAACCGCCTTGCACCCCACTGTGCCCATAGAACTGAATGAAATGTTACTTGTGACATTTCAATAAAGTTCTACCAGAAAAAACAAAACAGTGTGATGTGCCGGGAGCATGCACAACTGGGCAACTAACATTTCCAGAGAGTGAGAGAAGCTTGCAATAACACCCCTCTTATTATGAAAATGTCCATGCCTAACATTCTTGGGACATTATCCTTGCTGAGACTGGCTCACAATGGCTCCTCTTTGTACCTCTAGTCACACCTGCAAATCACAAACCACACTCACATCACAAATATCTTTTTGGATCATGACTAATAGCTGGAGTAAAAACAGAACCATGATGTGCAAACAGTTAAAGGCCAACTACAACCAAAACCTTGTACTTCATTTTGGCTAGAGAGATGAAGAGCTAGACCATCTGGTGAGTTTTTATTCCCTTCTGTTTCCCTATTGGGGGAAAACACATTTATGTTATATCTGGGAAAGCCTAGAACCTTCAACAGTGTTTACTAATATGCTTTCCTGTCCCAGTGACATCAGCACCCCTCATTTTTTGCATGGGCGTCACAGAGAGTAATTGAAGAAAAGGTCTTCCCAAAGGCACTACAGAGGTGACATGAATTTTAACTCTTTCTCACATTATCCACACCGGAAAGTGGCTTGACATAGGCTTTAAACTGTTAGTCTGCCTAAAACAGATATTTCAAGATCTTTGCACTTGAGTTTCTGGATCTGCACAGCTGCTATTTTAATATATTATCTCAGACTAGTGATAGCTCACATCATTAGCCCGGTATGTGTAGGGAGTTATAAGAAGCACCGTTCCTGTTCTCTTATTCCTAGGACAGTTGCTTGTTTCAACGAGTTATTAGGAAAATTATATTGTTAAAAGGAAAAATTCACCTACCTATCACATTTAGCAGGTTTGTTTAAACATAAGGCAACATACAGTACACTTCATGGTGTTATTTTACTCACTTTCCTCTGATTCATATGTTAATGAGATTACTTTCATTCAGCTGTATCAAAGTTCTTCTCAGCCAGCTGCATCCCTGGAGCAACCGAGACCAATCTCTGCAAGCAGTGTATAGGAGAGGAAGAGAAGAAGTGTAAGAGCAGCCATGATGAGCCATACTATGGTGACCATGGAGCATTCAGGTGAGCACAAATCCCTAACTGCCTTCTCATCTGACAACATTGGTTCTTCCAGAACAGATACATAAGTTTCATTTATTGAAGGGTTCTGTTTAGCTCCATTGAATTTGTGACATAATTTGGTCATTGGTGTGACAGTGTAACTCTCAGCCTCTCCTGTTCAGAGATTTTCCATCTTGTGAGGCAACGTATAAATGCCAATCAACTGGGAGTGATCATTATTGAAGTCAATCGCAACAGCTTTTGGTGGACCCTCTACCAACCTCCACCCAATCACAAGAGCTGAGGGGTGAATAAAGGAATGCTGAAGTGGTTGATTATACTTCAGCGGACACTCCTTTAATGTCACTCATAACTATATCAATATTTCTAGATGAACATTTTGTACATTGCTGTTATCACCAACTTCACTTCCACGTAACCCCTAGAAGGGGCTGCACACACAATGTGTGTCTCAGATTTATTTTACTAGGTTCAGTCATCTAATCTTTTAGAAAAAAAAGAGAAACGAGGACAGACAAAATATTTAGAAAGTTGAACTTTATTTCACTAATCTTTTCTATTGCCTAGGACTAAGAGCTGTTATTTAAAATAGTAGTAGAGGTGTTGTCCATAAGATTCAGGTTGGATCTGGAGAGTGGGGAAACAGCTTCCTACTTTCAACAGTCCGTCATTTACATTTGATCTTTCTAGATGGTCAGTGTATTTAGCTATTTTATTTTAACACTTCAATTGGTCACTAACACATATTTAAAAATGAAATACTTAGGAGTCTAGTTATAATTTTTTCACACAAGATTCACAAAACGTTTACCCAAAATTCACCCAATGTTCTAATTGCATCCAACTGTGTTCATATGTGCATATGTGGCTTTTCCTATTACAGATGTTTGCAAGAAGATAAGGGAGATGTAGCTTTTCTGAAAAACACAGCTTTGCCAGGTAAGTTTTCTGCCAGGCTTTCTCAATTACAGCTGCACCTTCATATAAAAAAGAACTGTCTATGTGCCCCCCTAACACGCCTTAGGTAGTATGCAAAAGATATCAGACCTCGGTTGTAGTGCATCTCTTGTCTACACTGCCCAGTTTTCGGCTGTGCTGGACAGTGTTCACTCTTAACTTTCCTCCCCATAGAGCCCACATCAGCTCTTGCATCCATCTCTATGGAGCATCTACACTGAGTGGCCAGATTATTATGACCACCTGACGTTTGTAGGCAAATTAGCTATAATTAGCTATAATTTTGCACTGAAGTTGCTAGAGGGCCAGACCATTATAAATAGGGAAGCAGGTTGTTTACCATGACAGTAGAAGTGTTTTTTTTTTCTGAAGATATGGGTAAACAACGCGATTTAACAGCCTTTGAATGTGGGATGATTGTTGGCGCTCGGAGCCATGGAGCGAGTATCAGCTAAATAGCATAATTTGTTAAATGTTCAAGAGCAGCTGTTTAAAGTGTTTAAAGACTGGACTGTCAGCCGAAAATCTGGGTCTGAACGTGCAAATTGTGGCCGGCAGCGACTAGTCAATGTTAGGGCAGAACGGAGAGTGGCAAGACTGGTACAAGACAACAGAAGGGCAACAGTGCAGTGTCAGATTCCTCGCATCACCTTTCAACATCTCGTGGAGTCACGAGGTGGCCCAACAATGTCATCTCGTGGAGTCATCTCGTGGCCCAAAGAAGTACTGATGGGGTGGTCATAATAATCTGGCCACTCAGTGTATATGCGTCTGCACACTGAAATACAGCTGCCAGGAAGCAAATTAAACTAAGGGGTCTATTCACAAAGCTGCCGAAGGATCTGGCCGTAGCTTCGGCCGATCCTTCGGCTAGCTTCGGCCCCAGGACCCCTTCGGTTCAGGAGAACCGAGGGGGTGCTGTACGGGCTATTCACAATAGCCCGTACAGCTCCCGATCATTGACGAGCGGCTCGATCCCATATGCAGCGGCTCGGCCGAGCCGCTGCATATGGGATCGAGCCGCTCGTCAATGATCGGGAGCTGTACGGGCTATTCACAATAGCCCGTACAGCTCCCGATCATTGACGAGCGGCTCGATCCCATATGCAGCGGCTCGGCCGAGCCGCTGCATATGGGATCGAGCCGCTCGTCAATGATCGGGAGCTGTACGGGCTATTCACAATAGCCCGTACAGCTCCCGATCATTGACGAGCGGCTCGATCCCATATGCAGCGGCTCGGCCGAGCCGCTGCATATGGGATCGAGCCGCTCGTCAATGATCGGGAGCTGTACGGGCTATTCACAATAGCCCGTACAGCTCCCGATCATTGACGAGCGGCTCGATCCCATATGCAGCGGCTCGGCCGAGCCGCTGCATATGGGATCGAGCCGCTCGTCAATGATCGGGAGCTGTACGGGCTATTCACAATAGCCCGTACAGCTCCCGATCATTGACGAGCGGCTCGATCCCATATGCAGCGGCTCGGCCGAGCCGCTGCATATGGGATCGAGCCGCTCGTCAATGATCGGGAGCTGTACGGGCTATTCACAATAGCCCGTACAGCTCCCGATCATTGACGAGCGGCTCGATCCCATATGCAGCGGCTCGGCCGAGCCGCTGCATATGGGATCGAGCCGCTCGTCAATGATCGGGAGCTGTACGGGCTATTCACAATAGCCCGTACAGCACCCCCTCGGTTCTCCTGAACCGAAGGGGTCCTGGGGCCGAAGCTAGCCGAAGGATCGGCCGAAGCTACGGCCAGATCCTTCGGCAGCTTTGTGAATAGACCCCTAAGCACTGAACTTTAGAACATTAGATGTATGATCTTTCGTATACTACCTGGAGGGAAACATAGGGGTCTATTCACTAAGCTGCCGAGGGCAGCCGAGTGAAAGACCGATCTGAAGTGAAGTGAGCCGAACACTGTTCGGCTATTCACTTCAGGCTGGTACGGCTGATTTCAGCCGTACATCGGCTTGCTTCGTGTGGCTTCGGGTCGGCCGAACATGCTCAGCATGTTCGGCCG